TGCAAATGACTAAAAATTTTTCCATATATAATTATTCAATTAATATACGAAGGGCTTGATATATAAGGTTATTTTTAATCATTTTGAAATTTGTTAGACATCATTTGTATGACATGGTGTTACCATCACAAGAGATCGACGCGTAATGTGATCGATACGGCATACAGATACGCTAAAACATTATACGTTGACATACAACTACGACTCGCAATTCGCGACTCGGTTACGAACCATTAAGGGTTCTCTACATAGATGTCGTAGATGGTCGTGGAGTCTTACATCATAGGAAACCAACTAATCACAATCAAATATAAAGAGAATACTCGATTAGAATTGGTCAATTTCCTACGACTGAAGACTCCACGATCTTCTACGATTTCTATATATAGAGGACCCTTTATTGTGCTGAGGCCCTAATACGGATTGCTCCCTAAAACTTTTGTATGTGTGTATGTGTTTTTATGTGGAGTGGAGTCTAACTCTAAAGAGTCAAATCTCATTCTTCAAAATTGACATTCTTCAGAATTGAGTCATTCTTTTTCAATACTGGTTTAATCGTCATTCTTTGTCGCTCTTTAGATTCCATTCCAAAGAGAACAGATTATATGAAATTAGTGCAGTGTGATGGAATATAGGTGAGCGAAATACAGCATTTGAATAGTAAAAAGGATGAAATCGCAGATTGGGACTTGTAATACATGTCGCATGTGCTTGGTGTGCGCGATCCGGTCGAGAATCGATTAAACCTTTACGACCGACGATGTGGCCTCCATCGCACCGCGAACACGTACATCGGCGCGTAAACAAGCGTGTTCGCTTGCACGGCTAACGATAATAAATATCGCCGCATTGCCGCATGCGTCATTTTAAAGAGATCGGTTCGGTGATTGAACGTACAATGTAATGTCACCCGACGGACCTCTAAATAATAATTCGCGCCGGCATAAACGGTCACATGTTGCGTAACTGGAATAACACCTGTCTGGAATAACGATACGTATAAATTGCGCAATTTTAGAATTTCTGCAAATTAATATGGAACGACAATAATGGTCCAGGTCTGCATTTCCGACTGAAAATGATCCCGGTCTCGTCATATATTGAAAATGTACATACTTGTTACTTTTAAAACATATTTATTAATTTTAAATAATAAAATATCCATCTAACATAAGAGAGTTAATTATACGATCATTTTTTCGTTTCTCTCGATGACATTTAGCGAAATGTTTAATAGAAAAATTGAAAGGTTAGAAAGATTGATATTCATATCAATTTTGTTAGAATATACAGTTGAGTATACAATTGAAAGTATTTTCTTTGTTGTTTTTATCATGGTTTAAATTCGCCCAAATAATTCTCGATCTCTTGCTATTAAAGCAACAATGCATCCTTTCTATCGTAATCTTTTCTACCGACCATACGTGCCGAGGCAAGTCCATTAAAAAACGATAACCATTAAAAATCTCCGAGGAAACGCGGGGATTCACCCTCGTAACCGCTACTCCTTTCTTTCGAAATAGTGATTGTCGGTCTCTCTCGCCACGAATATCCGAGGAAAAAGGAGAAAAAAGGAAGGAGAGGGAGAGGGAGAGAGAGAGAGAGAGAGAGAGAGAAAGAGAGAAACGACGATCTTTCTCTTAGTTTGGTACCGAAAAGGTGAAGGTTAGCCACAAGGGTGGCAAATGTTGGGTCGCACTTTATAGTCCGCAATTATTGGCGGGGTTGGACCGAGGGCATCCGGAAAAGCGAATTTTCTCGCGGCCCGAGCTCCCTTCCATCGGTTCGTAAAACTCGCTGGTGCAATGGCGATGGCGCGCCTCTCGATGCATTAGCTAATTGTTGCATCAATATCGGTTGCCAATTTCTCCAATTTGCTCGTCACTTCCAGCAGTACATCATCAAACCTTCAGTCAATTCCGTTCGTTCGTCGTGAAAAATGTGATCATGTGTAAAAAGTTGGAATTGCTTACAGAGAGTTGTATTATTTTCTTTAATAGAAAGCATTCAAAATGTGATGCTTTCTACTAAAGAAAATAATACATCAATATATTAATAATGGAGAAATTAAATATATTTTTCTTCTGTCTGATCACAAAAATAACAATTTATAATAATTAAATATTTTCAATATTTTTTTATTAGTACGTATGATATTTGAAATATACATAAAAAAATTAACGAATATTTCTAATAGAATATTCATTGTAATTAATTATTTTATTAAAAACTTTGGAGGCTTTTTGTTGTTTATTAATTATTTTAAATTTGAAAAATCTGTTAAAATTTTTAAGGATACTTGTGATGTCCAATTACAGATTATTTTTAAAAGAAAGCACGAAAAGAAAGGTTATCGTTTTTCCACAATAATTTATCGAACAATAAATTATAGTGCAGTGTCTTGTGTCACATTCAATAAAATTATTTTATTCCAAAATTTATTGCCAATAAATTATTGCGAAACGAAATTTTATTAACAACACGT